GTAGGGCAAACACTGGCCGGCGGCGCCCAAGGAATGCCAAGGGCACGCCACCCGACCCGCGCGGGCATATTTTTAACGCGCAGGCGATACACACCCTAGCAACGGCGCTCACGCCGATTGGCTGGTTCGCGGAGATAGGCGCTGCCGCCGTCAACATAGGCAGCGGATACAATGCGAGTTTCCGAAGCGGTAGCATAACTTAGTGGTAAGATGTCTGCCTCATACGTATCAGACCCGGGTTCTATCCTAGGTGTAGGCTTACTTTTTTTTTTTCCTCTGACAGTTTGTTTTCTCGAGGCATTCGGCGATATTTATATTTCTTTTTATACAATTAACATTAAAAAAAACGAATGTTGTTGATGAAACATCGCTGAACTAAATCGTATGGGACTCTATTTACGGAAGTGCATGGGGGACAGCGGAGCTTGGGTTGACACCGCTTTGCGGCGTTCAGTCGGCAACCCAAGCCTCGCTGCCCATGCACTTCCGTAAAGCCCATGTTAAGTAACGAAGGACTTTGTTAGAAATAAGTAAGATTTGGTTTGGAAAAGACTATCTTTCTACAGTTGCGTCGGCAGTGTTTTTTTTTATCTGCCTATGTTTGTGTCTGCATTTTTTGGGCGTCTTCCGCCCCCACGCGCGGGCCACTTCGAGCATCGCAGGGGTCGGTGGAGAAGAGTCGGACCCCGGTCGTTAAGAAACGTCTTGGGTTTCGAGAGGCGGTGCTGGGAGAACACGTGTGCGGAGATGCTTGCAGCTTTTAGCCGAATGTGCCTGTATATAGAGGGTTTTGCCGCTTAGTGTAAAATTGTCACTTTTTGCGCGATGTAATAATTTAGCTGTTGGCCCCAGCTAGTCTGAGAAAATTGCAGAGAACAACTCTACAAGGAATTTAGGGTTTGCGCGGTTGGAGCGCCAGGATGACAGCTCGCCGACCATTGGATGACAGTGTACCACGTGGGAGTGGTGAAATTTGAAGTGATTGGTCCATCTCTGGAGGGAAAGGCCTCTACGAGTCTAGAAAAGGGCTGCCGAGAGGATTCTCGAGAAATTCGGCTCTTGAGACTGGGGACTAAAGTATGGGGTTTTCATTTTGGAAGTTTTGTATATTACCGTTGACTTGTCGTTTTGTTTTCAAATAAACGTGGCCACACTGGCCATTGTAAACCTACCAACGTCGTAATGTGTCCAGCGGGATCGAACAAATTTTAGATTTTTTTTTTTTCTTATTCGACTTTCCGGGGGACTTGCATCGGGCGAACGTCATCATCGGTCGTCACCATCCTGACCGGCCCCCTCTACCCTCTCCCCACGGAAAGTTGACTCCCATGCACTTCCGTAAAGCTTAGCGTAAAGCGTAAAGCTTATCTTTGTTGATAGGCAAAACAACCACTAAAATTCGAAAGTAATTTGTAATTTGAGTAGAAGTCACTCGGAAAAGTAGTTAAACTACTAATTACCAAAATAGAAATGTAATTGAAAGTTACTTAACTACCCAGAAAATTAGTTAAACTATACAGTAACTTGAGTAAAGTAGTTGAACTACGTAAAAGTCTGGCTGATAGGCGCTCTGCGTAAGGGTTTTCGCCTACCTACCTAGCCCCGCGCACCACCACATGGGCCCCTTTCCAGTATGTGCAAATGAAATAATAATAATAATTATTATTAATATTATTATAATAATCCTGTTTTCGGCTCACAAGCAGTTTGTGCCAAAAAAAAAATATCGCTTTTTAGCTCGCGTTATTTCGCGATTTTTATGTATCTGCCTAAAACTAAACGGAACTATCATGCCCTCGACGTTGCACATCCGACATTCCTAACTCTCCCGATCTTCCTAAACGTCCGTGTGTGTCCTAACACCAGAAACCGGAATTTTAAAGGTTAAAAACGGCACGTTGCGAATATGGAACGCACACTTTTATGCAAAGCTGACGTCAAGTGACTCAAATCGAAAAACATGCATATTTACAATATTGTTATCTCTTCTGGTGAAGGCTTAGTAACCGTTGCATTCGTTTTCGCGCACGAGACGGTGACTTCCAGAGAAAGTAAGAACGCAGGGATTGCCTTTATTTTAACAATGTAAACACACTTGGCAGGCGTGCGCTGATGAAGCCTTAAAATCAAAACTCTCGTAGCGTGATTCGTGACTGCGCCGGCTACTACCCAACCTCGTTGTCACGCCACTTTCTGCAAGCAAACACTAAAATTGCCAGTAAACATACCAAAGCGACACCGATACAATTATCTTTTATTATATCACCTTATTCAGTCATAACTGTGTCAATAGGCACTACATGTATTTATGTTAAGGAAAATAAAAACTTTTTTCGTGAGAAAAAAATAAATATATCAATGTTAAGTCTGGTAACTGTATTTTTGCCGAATCATTGCCAAATATTCAGAAAAGTTCGGCAAAAGTTGCGCCAAATTTTCGATCCCTCAAAAGTTCGGCCCCTCACTAGTAAAAAAAAAATGAAAGCCGTTTACAATTCCCGGTAACACCGGATTAGAGCGCAGCTCTTGAGGAGGAGGATGGAAGCGTACTGAGGGATAGGTGACTCCTTAAGGTCACGTGACCTCAGGGGGGGGGGGGGGGGGGGTCACGTGACCTCGCGGTTACGCCGACGCCGCTCAAGCCGGAAACGGGCCCCTAACCGCTCATTCACACTGGAAGCGGATCCGCGTTCGCAAAGCGGTTGCGAACGCGCACGCGCACTTGATGTCATCGAGTGCGCGTGCAATTGTACTGAATCTTTATACAACCGCGTTCGCAACCGCTTTGCGAACGCGGATCCGCTTCCAGTGTGAATGAGCGGTAAGAGCTGCGCTCTAATATGCGACCCGGGGGGGGGGGGGGGGGGCGGGAGGTCAGGTTTGCCCCCCCCCCCCCCCCCCCCCCCCCTCAAAAATAAGTTGGTACGCCACTGGTTAGGTTCATCGCAGTGGCTAAAACTTCGATGTCGGCGACGGCAAAAACTTACGTTGCGGACGTCGAAAAAAGCGACACGGGCGGTGCCAACTTCATTTTACACCTTTTCTTTTTGTCGCAGCCGAGGTAGAAATTTTGTTTTGTGCAAAGAAACTCGAGGGCAGTTTTGAGAAAGTCACTGCAGTTATTCTGTCAGGGTTGAACAAATCTCATTAATAGAGCAACATCCGCCAACTGTGCTTGAGGTCAGTGCTTTTTGAAACCAATTTTAGCCCTTCGCAACGCTTGAAAAATATTGCCCAGGGGACAGTTTCTTTTAGAACACAGAGCGTTCCACCAAAAAACCCTCCGCCAGTAACAAATAAAAAAAAAAAAAAAAAAAAGACAAATTTTGAGTCATTGATTTGCGTGGAGCAGTATACCGATAAACGGTACGATTTCAAGCCTATTCGCATCGAAAAAAGAATTAAAAGTGTTCTCAAAGACGAAAGGCATGACGGCCTCGTCCTTTCGGAGGCCTGTGCACACGCTGGCGACAACAAGCTTCCACGAGTTCCGGAAGAAAGGTCCCCGGAAAAAACGTCCTCGGAAAATATGTCCCCGGAAAATATGTCCCCGGAAAAAAAGGCCCCAGGTGGAAAGTAGGAAACAATGTCCCCAAAGGAATATTTTTTTCCGCTTTCCTGGGTTTTCCCCGATTCTCATGGCTTTTAGGGAGGTCCTGTCATTGTCATGCGTGCCGTCAGCCGTACTATCCGCTTTTGACTTTTTTGTGTGAATATAGAATGTGTCATTTCATTTCTGATTTTGTAACATTGCATCTCAACTGTTTTTGTTTGTTTTTCATTGAGAAATACATTTATAACACTTCTAGCCAAAACCAAATGATTGTGTTTAGGGAAATTTGAGAGGTACTTCTGTACCCTTTCCAAATAGGTAAAAAGCGCGACACTGCTAGCACAAACAAGCGATCGCTAGTTTTTTTTTTTTTTTTTTATAGAAACGAAAGGTGAGTTGCCATTAAAGTTATCATAGGTACTGAAAGTGCTTATTTGGGGATATAATGCAGACGGTAAAATTCCGTTCCCACTAATACTCTTTCTAAGTAAAATGTGAAAATGCGCCGATGTCGTGTTCGCGCTAGTGTCGCGATGTTTACCTCGGGTAATCGTATATTTCCTTATTTGTTGGGGCCGTTTTTCCCCACTTGCCACACGGTGCCTTTTTGCCCAAGAAAATATGACCGGAACGCCCGAAAGCCATGAGAATCAGGGAAACCCAGAGATAGAAAATACTTTGGGGACATTTTTTCCTACTTTCCACCTGGGGCCTTTTTTCCCGGGGACATTTTGTCCGGGGACATTTTGTCCGGGGACTTTTTTTCCGGTGACTTTTCCGGGGACATTTTTTCTGGGGACATTTTTTCCGCGGACATTTTTTCCTACACCCAGCTTCCACAGCGAAGGCGTAGGACTTGGTCCGCTTCTTCGACGAGGTTGTCGCCAGCATGCACAGACCCCCAAGAGTTTCGTCAGACAGCTGCGGTAGGTTGTTTAAACTCTTTGTCCACATGGTCGGAAGGCGGAAAGCAGTTGCTGCGCCATCGCACATTGCCCGTACGGCTGTCTTTGACGCCTCCACCATGCTTCGGTACCGACAACGCTTGCCAATGCCAACATTAAAATGGCGATGCTCTCAGTGTTGTCAGACCAAAAAGCGATTTCGCATAAGGTCTAAAAATAAAACAATAAAAAGGTTAGGTTAATTAACAGATTCTAGTTAATTAGATAACAAACTGTTACGATTATCCCCTCATATAATGTCCGCCGAGCCTGATAGATACATACCCCCCTTTAAAGAAAGAAATGGTCCAAATTAAAATCAAACACATTGTATATCTGCATTACTCAAGGCCATTCTTTTTTTAACATACTAATCGATTTGTTTTGACTTCACAACTGGCACTACGTTCTCAATTAATTATTAAAAAAAAGGAATCAAACTTTTGTTGGTGTTTTGCTCCACCAACATTTGTGAGGAACTCCTTTATCTTACACAAGAAACGTGAACGCTTGATCCAATGTTTTATTTTTAGCCTTAGCAGTGATGCCAACTTGGCAGACGTAAAAAAACAATACAACTCAGGGAGTAAAAATCACTCGAATTGAACACTAACTCACAAATAGTACCGCCACAAGGCAAGCTAGAAATGCTTGTCTAAAAAATGACTTTTGCGAGAATCACCGTCTAAAAGAAATAAAGGAAACAAAGAACACTTTCTCGACAGAGACTGAGACAAACACTAGGAAAGTTGTTTTTTACGCAGGCCAACATAGGTGGACAATGTGACCCGAAATGACCGAACGACAACCTTGAGGTACTAGTGGCGCCTTTCCGAGACAAGAAGTTTAACTAAATTGAAAAACAGCATGTGGATGAGAGTAGTCCATGTTCTGGGGTGCACTTCATTTGCTTCAATCCTCCACATTATTTGCTACCTCCTGCTCGTGCACTGGCTTAACTATAGAGCGTTTTCACCGAGGTCACTTCATCCACCATTTTGTTGTTATTATCAGTCAGTGAGTACTCCGAAGATTCACATCGCACCCTCAAATTGGTGGTGCACAAAAGCTTATAAGTTTTATCATGCTGACATCTAACAACAAAATGGCGGATTGATGTCATGTAAAAGAAAACACATCTGGGCAGGTAACATTGATGCTAGCTACAGTCGTTTGCAGGATCGAGCCATACCAGATACTAGTAGTGCTGCATGCTCATTTCCACATTATTTTCTCTCATCTAGTTTAACTTATCACCTTGGGGCGGGATTGCCGTCATCTTTCGGTCGTCGCTCAGTCTTCTCGGCTTACACCGTCGGTGCCGGTATTGTCTGCCACTTCAGCTTATGTTCGTCCATGACCGTACCTACACACCGTAAAGGCACTCAAGAGCACTTCTCTGTAACGGCACACACTGTTTAAAGTGTCTAATCTCGTAAAAAATATCAAAACAATCACGTTTCTGAGGTTGCACGCGTGATACGCCTAATTAAGACGACTAAGCTTCACGCATGCTTCAGCTTCCACCACCTAAATGCTTTTTCTCTGCACGCACCACAGTTCCGGGGGCATTGCGCCAAAGTGCTTGGTTATGGCAAGTTTCGAGGGCACGTGACGAGGGGCCCTCTCCTTGTATCTTCACAGACTGCGACTAGCGACGTGGGCCATTTCCTCTTTCCCTTTCATGGCACGCAGTTTGTGATCGATAGGCAAGGGAGTTCCTAACAAAGCCTGAAAAAAGAAAGAGAAATGGCAAGGGTAGCTCAATTGATAGTCATTTCAACAGGAAATGAAACCAACAAAAACAAACTGCTGGGTTGCCATCGAGTTTCATGTGTGCATAATGGAAGGAAGCAAACAAAGGAACAGATAGCATAAAACAGCACTGTTCAAACCATCTATACTCACGAACGACTTTCTTTTCCGTTTCGAAAGAAGTGAAGAGTGCACATGCGCAGCTTCGACGGGCGCTCAAGGTGCGTAAGCGCACTTGTACCTATGGCCGCGGAAAGTTACCTGCGAGTGTAGCTTTTGTGGCACTGCTGCAAGGGAGGTCACCTCCAGTGACGTTTCTTGAAGGGTAGTGAAAATAGTGCTTTGAATTGAATAGCATACTAGTGTCATCCCTAGCTTCAACACTGTAAAGAAAGATTGAATGGTGTGTCTTACGCTTACTTTGTGAAGCCTAGGAATGACGCAGTGCTATTCGATTCAAACCACAATTCGCACACCTTATTGTTTTTTTATTAGTCAAAATAAAGTTAGTGATGACATCACCAGAAGCTGCTTCATCAATGTGATTTCTTGCAACCAATCAGTGGTTCACGCATGCATGTTTCCCCTGAATCACTCGTCACGCTTTAGCCTCGTCGCAGTGCGCGTCGCTGAGCCACGGAGCCAAATCTTGTTGTTAACAAAATATTCTCGCAAGTTTGGGGAAGAGATAAACCGTGTTTTTACTGTAAAATTATGATGTTATAAACCTGTCAAACTAATAGATATTGGACCTACAAAACCTGAACAATACTAAGGTCCAGAAGGCTGCCCAGAATTCATGTCTAACATATATATACTATGACCTTTTTATTAGCAAAAGGTTCTCTTATGTTCGATAAATAAAAATATTCAGATGAAGTGAACATCAGCAAAAATGAAGCCAACCAGGTAAAAGACGTCTTTCTAGCATATGCTGATAAAAAGAATTTAATTTTTGCTAATGGAACCCCAATCATATCGTAGTAACGGACAACAAAGCTCTATTATGACTCACCTATTTCGCATCACCACCGCTGCTTTCGGCTTCGTCCGACTTGATCTTAACCAGCTGAGCATTCTTTGGCACATTGTCGCCAATCTTATAAAGAAGCTTCTCTATGACTCCAGTCGAGGGTGCTTTGATGACATACTATTGAGGAGAGTAGAAAATAGAATGCCTAAATGAGCATATCATGTTTCATTAAACTCCTAATATGGAACCAGTCTGAAATGACTATGTATGTTGTAACCTCTTAATTGAAGTTTACACTTCCAGAGAGATGGACTGACAATCTTCAGTATACATTTTATGCCAATAAAACTAATCTTTTTGTTCTGGGACCAAAAGACATGATTTAGACCTTTTTAACTGTGTCATTTGTAGTGAGCTTCAAGTAGGTGCTTGCTTACAATTTAAATATAAGCAGAGGTTCCAGATGCGTTGCAACAAGTAAACAAAAGGTCTTTGCCTCTCGGAGTGCCTCATAAAAAGTTTGTTCCACTACACAAAAAACCGAAACAAAAGATGACGCATTCGACTTTCTTACATGTACATATTATGGCAATTTCTAATTTACTTCTAAGTAGTTTCATCAAGAAATAAAATGGTTCATATTGCTGGCCTTGACAGTGACAGAGGCAACTAGAAAATGTCAGTGCATAGCTCCAGTCACGCTGCTGCACTGCAGACTACAGTGAAACCCGTTTAGAACGAACCCACGAACAGCGAATTATTGTCGATATCGAACTCGCAGAAATATGAAATAAAAATGCATGTAAAAAGTACTTTTTATAACGAACAATATATTGGCTATATCGAACTATTTCCCCTGGGAAGGCGAATTCTAAAAACGCGCTGACGATCGTCTTTTAGCCTGTCCCTTCCCACAAAAAAAAAATTAGGAAAAAAAGATAATTTTAAAAGCTCAAGTTGCAAAGAAAGTTGAGCGAAGAAAACCGATGCAGAAGGAAAAGAGGCTAAAAAATACACTGCACGCACAGAAAAATAAAACAAATAGTATTTTCATCCCAAAGCGTTTGCTCACGAAGCGAAGCGATTCAGAAGGGAAGATAAGCAAAAAAAAAATTTAAAACAAAACTGCACACATGCAAAAAAAAAAAAAAAAAAACTTTACAGCGCGTTGTTACAAGGCGGAAGTGAGGAAATGAGAAAGAAAGACAAGCTCACGCCTTACAACGAATGCATCCTGGATATTAGTTGTAAACGGTTTTTGCTATACCGAACTACTTGCTATATCGAACTGATTGTAGCGTTTCCTGCTGTTCGTCATAAACGGGTTTGACTGTAGCACGATAGAGCACATTATGTCAATCTATAGAAATCATCACTAACATTAATTTGAGTGTTTTATACCAAAGTCCAGAAAGAGAGAGTGCTTGGCATTTCGAGAAAAAAAGACTCTCCCCCGCACTTTACAGGGACATCTTACCAGCCTATATGCAACAGGCACCCACTTGATCTTTCAAAGCTGTAGCAACCATGTCAAAAATATTCGGGATGCAATGAGCAGCAATGCTAACAAATATCTCAAATGGTGTTCAGGCTGGAGAAACCCTTTACTGAGAGGCTGGAATGGCTCAGAAAATTTGGGGGATCTCCAAGGGGTTCTTTAGAGAACACTTGGGTTCCTAGGAACACAGGAAATCCCCAGAGTGGCCTCACAGGTTCCCCAAATTTTTTAAAATTTTCCCGGACGTTCTTGCCCGCAAGTAAAGTGTTTTGCCAGCACTGTATCAGCAGATGTGAACCACTCATTGATGCATACCAATGAACAAAACAGTGATTCCCAACCATCGATGTTTCCTGCCCCCTACAGCGGAAGTGATGGTGGCATCCACTGGGAGGAGGGGGGGGTATTGGTTGACTAAATTCACAAAAGGGTAAAATGAAGATAACTAAGTGCTTGCAAACTTTCTTTGGAGCTCTGAAACACAGAATAATCGTCCCTACTCATTCAGCGCACATGGTTTGGTCAAGTTAGCTTCGTGAGACAGCTAGCATCAATTAAAAAAGAAGTTTTATGGCTCGGCTTGACTGACAGTCAAGGGGTTCGAGGACCTCAAGAAGGCCTTCAAGGACCCCAAAGGGTCTGCCGACATCCATTTGAAAACCACTAATCTAGTATGCAGATTACTGTTTCTACAGTCTATAGCATCTTCAGTGTTTTACTGCATCAGTGCTGGGACTAGAAGGGGTGTTTTCGGCTTCAAGTCAGAAAACGGTTCCTTGAGATCAAGCAAGTTAGAGAGCTCCCCACCTATAAAAGATGCAGGACGCCACACCAATGAGCTCAATGTGCCTACCTCCATCTTCATGGCAATCATGACCACGACAGGGTCTCCTTCCTTTACGGCATCCCCTTCCTTGACAAAGAGCTTTTCTATGACCCCCGGCATGGGTGCCACTGCCCCCAGGGGACCAGAGTCCTCGTCAGCTGCACTCAGGTACGCCGGCTTGGCGATGGAAAGCTGCTCCAAGCCATCCTGGAAACAGCAACATCATCCACGCTTGCACTCGTTTAATAGACAGATAGACGATAGAAAAAACTTAATTGTACCTTAATCCTGCATGTTCGCCACATTTACGTGATCCCACTGGCAAATGAGAGCGAGGCACCACCTTCCGGGTGGTGCCTCACCATCGGCTGGCATCACCATCACATGACGTGATTTTGTGACGTCATCCAATGGGACGGCATCACAGTCATGTGATGCCATACCATTGGGTCAGGCGACCACGATGTCTAGCATCGCAATCAGGTGACGCCATCTCATTGGATCGAGTGATTGTGATTTCAGGTGACGTCACTTCTTGCATCGCAGTCGTGTAACATCATCCCCTCACATGATCACATCACGCTAGAGACAAGACATGTGTCGCTCCGAAGACCTTACATGACAACTGTCAGCCAAATTTGGCAGAGCATGTCTCCCTTGCCAAATTTAGCAGATCCTTGTTCCTACGACCGGTTTTCACAATGTACTTTGGTCATGTTGAGCTAGCGTTGTGTGAATATTCAACATTTCAAATAGTGGTTTCGAATAATATACCTACTATTCAATATTCGCTTCGATATGAACTGCAATATTGCCATAAAATACCGCGGAAGAGTCCACTTCGTACCAGCACCCACTATTAACATTTACCAAACTTGAGAATTCTGCAAATTGTATGTCAAGTGCCCACCCCTTCCAAAGCGCCGGCATCAACCGAGAATATTCAACCCGTTGCGGCGGCTCCAAGGGCGATGACGGGGATATCATGTAAAAATAAATGCCCTTCCTCTGATTCAGTTCTGCCTGCCTTCAAAGCTCTTTGTGGGCCGCCATCTTGGTTTTTACCCATTTGACCGAACAAATGTTTTTGTTTTTTTATACATACTGTTAACCCCCTTTTGGAGGTTGTGGCAAGAGTGGTTAAAAGAGTTATTTGCACAAGAAGTTATACAAAAAAAAAAAAAAAAAGACGCGGAAATTTTCTGTAGAAATATACGCATAATGCAATGATAATCCTTTTCACAAACAACTTTTCAAAGCGCTGACAAATAAATCAGCTGATGTCAAATTTACATGTGCTTCAGAAAGTCTATAACCCAGTTTTCAGTGAAAGAGGAATAGGTGCTTTTCCGGTATTTTATGGTAATATTTTTCTAAGGTTGCTTGCGGCAGGTTAGCTTTGTTGAGTGCCCTGTTTATCGAGCACCAGTGCACTGCAGAGGAGCAACACTCGCAGAAGCGAGCTCTGCGGATGTTGCTTCTCCACAGTACGCCGGCGCTCTGTATGAAGAGCACTCAACAGGGTAACCTGCTGCAATCAACATTTGAAAAACTATGAATATTACAATGGCATGCTAGAGAGAAGAGTACACATTCAAAGCCGAATGGTGCACGCACACACCCGGTGTATCTAAAAATAAACTGAAACTTTGCGAATGTTGATATCTACATCGTAGTAAAAAGTTCAAAATGAAACTGGCTGTTATGCAAGAGTATATGCCAGGCAGAGATGCCACACCAACCTGCATTCATCTTTTGTGATTATTTTTTTTTTTTTTTCAAATTTGAGATTGAATAAGGAATACTTGCGTATAGCAAGATTTACAAGCCCGCTCAATTAGGTGTAGCTGGGCATTCCTATAGGTTTAATTTTATGATAAATCCGTTGTTTCCTTGCCATCCCAAGGCATCACACTTTCTGAGGCAACAGTTTATAAATATAGCTAGATTAAAATGAGCTTATAAGTGGACAAGTGGAAGCTCAGGAACAGCCTTCGTGAGTTCAGCTGGGTTTGCATTTAAGCACGGTGCTACAGTAGCAAACGTTTTGGGAGTAACTATCTGATATTCGATTTCAAGATATTCAGCCAAAACCACTATTTGCTTTGAACTAAAAATCCACTATTAGCACACAACTACATTATACTCATCTCATGAAAACCAGCCCAATGACTAGATTTCTGTGTTATTAAAATTTACCGGTAAAAAGCCACAAAATCAACCCCCAGCTGGTTTAACCAAGATCAGAGAAAACCGACAAAACACCGAGTGAGCTGTCCTTGAATAAAAAAAAAACAATCCTTTTGGAAAGAAACCTTTATCTACAGCTGTATCTTGTGTTGAACACAGTCCACACTGAACCATCCATGAGGCTGCTGTTTTTTCTGGGGACGACACACCTCATCTTGTCATGTTTTCTTCAACATAGGCTCCTATAAATGCCAACTGTCTCTCCGACGCCGGGAGTTGACACTAAAAAACACTGAATTTGTGAGAAAAAAAAAAAAAATAAGCCCCCAAATATGCCCCCGAACTCAAAGCGAAATAAATCCCAGAAAACACGGAACTGCATCCATAACAACTTCCTTGTTAAGAAGTGGTGACAGAAATCTATTGCGTACCCTGTCGAAGACGTGAAGCGTTCCATCGTGGAGAACTGTGCGGAGCTTGACGCTGCTCCCGCCCACGTCGCACTCGACGGTGGCAACGCCATCCTTGACGGTCGTGCGACCGTGGACATCCAGAACCTCGTCCCCGCACTTGACCCGGTACGACCCGCAGTCCAGGTACGTCACCAGCAATTCATATTCTATGACGACGTGGAAGAGAAACATCGGGAACAAATGCACGCCGTCACGCCACTCGAGGCTGGTTCACATGTTTGCAATTGAGTGTGACCGTGTGTGTTATGACCGCTTGTGACCACCCATGACGACAAGACAAACTGCAAAACTGCAAAACCTCCGGTCTAGTTATATGCAGATCAAAAGTGTTCCAGGCCTCCCCGCTACATGGCACCAGAGTACCAATCTGCTTTCTTGTCCTAAGCAGTCGCAGGCGGGCACGAAGCATTCGGTGACACTTGTACGCAAATGTGAATAGATTCACATCTTGTCTGGTGATTGTTGAGTGCGAATGCTGGCAGTGAGCGACCAGTGTGGTCCGATCGTTCTGGCGGACTGCTCTTTTATTAGATCCGGCCAATCGACAAAAGCAAAGATGAGAAAGAAAAGGAATGATGTTGGCTTAGAAATATTTACAACACTAAAGAAGATGTGAAATCGGAATTAGGTGAACAGAACCTTTCTCCTCTTTCTTCCCCTTGGCTTTGAAGAGAAGAATGAAAAGTGGAATATATATATAGAAGTGACAAATTTCTCGATGCACAATTCTATTAAAGTGCATTCGCCTGGAAACAAACAATTTCAAAACTCATCACTCGAGTTCACACAACCCAAACATACAAGTTCCATGAACTAAACAATGACAGTTTCCTTATATATACACAATACTGCCAAAGTGCTCAGGTGGTCGCTGGCTGTGCCGTGACCGCCATCATCTCATCATGATTTTCCACGTAGAATTTGCAGAGGACATAATAAGTGACCTCAGTGCGAACACACTCAGAAGGACACCAGGCGTACTATTTGAAAAGTACCATAGTCGGTGACAGGTCAAGAATTCAGCGACGCATTACCCTGAGAAGAATTCCTATCGCTTTGCCAGCCAATCGCTTCCACTTGGTTCTGTGACATAATGGCTCGAAGAACAAACTTCTTTCTATGTGGCAGCATGCACCTAGCAATGAGATTGTTTGTGACGCCAACTTTTTACTGAGTTTTTTTTCTTTTCACCACGGTCTTTACCTGCCAGAGTTTGTGTGAGAAAGTCGTGACGGCACTTGCGCCTCTTCATAATAATAAAAATAATAATAATAATAATCTTATTTGGCCCTGGAGAGCCGCGGCACCGCGGAAAGGCAGCAGCCCGTAACATGGAGGCCTATGCTGCCGCGCCTAGTGAACATGATAATGTGATCAGTTTAGTATACATGCAAGATGAGTCATAGTCATTTCTGTGCAACAACATCAGAATCCAACGGTGCTATCATTATTGGTTAAATATGAGCAGTAGCTGCAGTGGTTAGGCTTGATGCAGCTGACAAGGCATTTCGCTCGACATTGTCTACTTCCCGCCAGGCGTCTTTCGATGATCCCTTCCTCCAATTATGTTGCAAACCCGTGGCGATGTCAGCTTTTTTTTTTTTTTAGTGAAAGCATTAATTTGTTTTTGGAGCGAACCGGCGTTATCAGCTTTTGAAGCTGCACCAATCGGCACCTAAACTCCCCTGTCCCAATGGAGCGGAGCCTGTCATGCGTAGCAGCAGTCTGATGAATAGGCTCCCATTGGTTGCCGTGCATCATAGTTTCAAGGAACAAGGCTCCCATTGGCTCTCGTGCAGCATAGTTCCAAAGAATGCCACCAGAGAAGCCCTCTCCATGGCAGCACAGCGGCCCGGCTGCTGGTAAGAGAGAGCTGCTGGCCATTGAGCCAGCAGAGCCCGCACGGGCAGACTCCGAAGAGGCTACACGGCCGAGCTCAGTGCAGTGCAGCCACTTCACGAAAGCGAGCGCTCGGCCGTCGGCAGCAACCTCGGCAGTAAAGAAACGTGGCCGTCCACGCCAGTATGCCACAGATGAACTAAGGGAGCGCAAGAACGACATTCATGCTTTAGCATTCACAATTCATAAGAGCTTAGGTGTCCTCGGAATTTTTTTGCAGTGTTTCTGTGCAATGCACGAAGACAATGCAGTCATCACCATCAAAGTGATGCCACACATGACGTGCTGGAGTGATGCCGCTACGGCCAAACAACATCGATGGGCTCGGTCTGCTTCTTATATAGAGCAAATAAATGAAGGCTTCCCACTAAAACGACACCTTCAAAGTCATATTTATTCACCTTCGGAACGCAACGCCCTTGCTGAGTCTCGTCAATGCGATCAGTCGCATGGTATGCCAGTGTTGTCCGGTGGACTTATACGCCATTTAAAAGCCTGGTAAGGTCCAGAAGAGGGAGAGGCAAGCTGCGAGCCCGGCAAACATGTCGCCAGCATGAAAAGGAACAGCGCGTGGGGCACGGCCCGGGTCGAAGGCACACGTCTCGACGCTTAATAATTGAAGACGACGAAGTCACATCGGAACAGCCAGTTTAGTAACAATAACTCCGTCTTACTCTGCAAAGCGTCACGAAACAAAGTAATCGCCGTAACCTGCTATCACCCATGTCTCGCCGAATCGGAAAGCCGAACTAGATGACAACATTTTCATGCTAGACCAGCATCGCTCGTTCTCCTTCTACATGAAGCCCATGACGCGGAGCAGATGACACGCTGTTTTTTTCGACAAAGGAGGAAGTTGAAGCGGGCCCGATGCCTGAGGACAGAGCTTTTCCCGAGTTCTTTACGTGTCACTGGCTATGGCAAACCTAACGTGGACGGCGCAACAAGAAAAATTTCAAAGGTGAACTTACTCTTGTCACGGCAGCTGAGCAGGAATTTCCGTCTGCAGTTGGAGTTGACTCGGAATGGTATCACGAGGTCGAGGGACTGCAAGTCATCTGGAGATAGTTTTTTTTCTTGTAGGGTCTTCTGTTTCTTTTTCTCCCCAAAAACTGATTATCCCAAATGTATATATTCTAGAAATATAAAAGCTGTCAATCAGAAGTTTTACAGTGTCTGCAATGGCCTCTGGTACAAAATGAGTGTAAGCACCAAACTCCTCTTATGACTAGCTTTGAGTTATGAACAGAAAAAAGTTTCATTCTATTCTCTATTTCATTTTTTTTTTTTCTCTTGATACAAACCTTTGACCCTATGATTCCATCATGACATTCCTGAAGATTGGGTGTTTGCTGATATGTGGTGTGTTATCTTACGTGGAAGTACGAGCACCCTCAATATCCACGAATGTTGTTGTATAAGCATCAATCTGTAGCATAAACAAAGTGTAGAATCGCAAAATAAAAAAAAAAAATGCATGCTACTGCGGGGGATGTGAACTCAATGAAGCTAGAACAGCAGTATGTCATAAGAAATTTGTAAAATATTTGAATCTAGTACACCAAAATTTTACAACATTCACTAATGTCTGTTAATTTTAGATAAGCCATGTTGGACATGGTCAGCAAATACAATGAAAATTACAAAAATGTTACCATTTTCCATAATCTACAGTCAAACCCGTTTATAACAAACAGCAGTATGCTACGATCAGGTCGATCTAGCAAAAAAAACATTTACAACAAACTTCCAAGATCAGTTCGTTGTAAGGCGAGAGCCCTTCTCTTTCTTTCTCATCTCTTCACTTCCGCCTTGTAACAACGCGCTGGAAAGTTTTCTTGTTTTTTTTGCATGCTTGCAGAGTTTTTTATAGCTCATCTCCACTTCTGAATAGCTTCCCTTCGTCGGCAAACGCTTTCAGATGAAAAGATTTTTTTTTCTTTGCATGTGTGCACCGTGTATTTTTTTAGTTTTCTCCCTTTCCAATGCTTCTGTTCGCTCAAATTTGTTCGCAACTTGAGCTTCTTGATTTTTCTTTTTTTCTTACTTTTTTTTTGGGGGGAAGGGACAGGCTAGAAGACGATTGTTTGCGCGTTTTTGGAAGCCTTCACGGGGGGGGAAAGTTCAATATAGCCAATATGTTGTTAGTTATAAAATATACTTTTTACATAGTATATTTTTATTTAAATGTTCCGTGAGTTCGATATCGACAATAATTCGCTGTATGTGGGTTCGTTCTAAACAGGTTTCACTGTATAACCTTTCCCCCTAGGCATCTTATATGGGGAAGTGCCATCTGGCAGTGCTGATATGGTAGAAACAGTAACATAGTTAACGGCTAGTCTGATGAACTATATATATACAACAAAAAAAAAAGCTTTCACATCCTTTACTTTTTTTGTGTGGTTGGCACCAGGCACTTTTGAAACAAAAAAGGGTTGGTAATCGAATTGTGCTTTCGAGTTAACTTCTTTCTTTCACTGAGGAAACCAGTTCCAGCCAATTGCTGACACAGCCCCTGCGAGGCGCCCCTTCTGTTACAAAATTGCGTTAGAGGAGGTGGCTAGGAGCTGTCCATATAACACATTCTGTGTTAAAAGTTTCAACATGTGCAGCTTTTCCATCAGAGGTTGAACCAGTTGAACCTCACACTCTCGCAAAAGCAAACTAAAAAGGGCTAACACGTCTGGACACCTTAACATTCCCCAGGCTCATAATGTACATGGCCAGCGACTATTGCAATCTTGCGGTACTAAAATCTGGAATGCCCTACTATCGTTGGTTACAAATTCACACGTGAAAGCACCATTTTGTTTTTAATAGGATATGTTTTTTTATTATTTTGATGGTCATTTTCATATTGCATAATTATTCTTCATCGCTGTTCACCCCTTAACCGTTTTTAGTTTTGGGGAATCTCTGACCCTCAGCTGCTTAATTGTTGTCTTGAAAATTAGATTTGTCTCCTTCAAAATAAAGTTTCTAGCCCCAAACAAAATGGGAGAAATTTTTGAAAAACTTCAGTGCTGCAATTTGTTGGCACAGCCTCAAACTAAATAAGCGAGCCTGGTTCGTCCAAAACGGTTCAGTGCGTGAACCGGAAAAAGCAGACGAGCCATCCTCATCCTAACGGTTTAAGGACGGCTCCATGTTGATGTGCTGAGCTCGTCCAAAATGGTTAAGGAATTAAAAAATTGTTGCTTTAACTTCCATCATGGGTGCCGTTTTCCACATTATAACAGTATTTGCTTAACTGGCATTTTGTTGATTTTGTGTATTTTCCATGTTTCCATTTTCAGTGGCTCTCATCCTAATAATTTATTAAAATGGGCCCGAACTAGCCAAAATGGCTATGGCCCAGATATTTTTTTTTTTAAAGAAAATACAGTTAGTGTGCAGATGAGCTGATGAAATTTACCATAGAAATATTAACCAGAGACCAGGGCAAAAGGAGGAAAAAAGTTTGTTAGTGCTCTTTTTTATGTTGCGAGTGTGGTCTTTGGTGAGTGTCCTTGCAAACAGGACATTCTGCGGTTTAGCGGCACTGAAGTGGTGCGCCTACAAGGAGGATGGTTAAATAAACACATCAGCTGAGTTGGAGACACTGTCTGTCCTCATTTCTTTCTACAACCGTAAACTTTTTTCCTCCTTCTGCCCTGGTCTTGGATTAATATTATTATGTTAAATGGTTTTTCTAGTGACCTGTGACAGATATTTAGAGTCACCAACAGAATGAGAATGATGGGATACCTTCAAAGCAAGTTTCCTGCCTTCAATGGTGCTTCAGCGTCTCGCAAGACTCAAGCATGCACACACAGCCAAGGCATGGCAAAAGGCGTCTGCCATTCTAACTTTGTCAATGACTTCAGCGAAAAAAAAAAATCCCATCGATTTAAATGTTTCTAGGGCAGTGTCCGGACACCATGGAATTTGTTGCCGGGACTGTGGGCGCACACCCGCTTTTGAGAAGTGTGCGGTCATTAGTAAACATACAGACAAGCTAAACCGCAAGATAGGGCAACTAGGGCCAAAATCTGTCGGCGTCCCTTCACTATTGCCGTCGGATAGGGAGAGTTCCTTCAGAAATCAGATAAGGCCACCACGTGCAAGAGACTTTGTTCGTTTGTGACGCATGTCAGTCAGCACCAATGAAGTTTAGTTGTAAGTTGACGTTGCTGTTTGTTGGTCTTCTTTTACTCTGGATCGTAAATAGTTTAGACAGATATCTGTCCACCATAATATACCAAGCATCCACCCATTCTACATTAAGCACCCACCCCTCAATTTTGTAACATTCGGAAAATACACAAAGGACATATCTTTACATATTGTTGACCTAAGGAGCCCCCATCCCCCAGTTTGACATAATTATCTCAAAATGTTGAATGGGAGCCTCCTTGGGATTTTACAGTAGTCGGGTGTAACTACAGTAATAAAAAGGGACTACTCCAACCAGAACCTAAGACGGCGTCCCAACGGTTGTTTTTGGCAGACGAAGAAGAGAGCTGCTGCTGCCCCGTGCCGCTTCCCCGTGCGATTTGGTTACCCCTAAAGAAGAAACCAAGGAGGTTTCAAAACGTTGGGAAACCTTTTTAGCACTTTGGTTGGAGTATTTTCTTTTTATTACTACCGTAAAATACAGAGCATGTGCACCCCCCCCCCCGTAAGAGCCCCCTGCCATTTTATAAAAATTTTATATATTTGTGGCCGCCATCTTGAATGTTATTTTTGAGCCGAGTAAGGGACCCCTCCCTGTTTTGATTGGATAATCTCTAAATTTGAAGGGGGCGCTTGCTCGGTATTTTACAGTATTCTCTTACTCTGCTTGCACTTTTATGAACTGAACCCGACCGAGAAAATGAAAGACGACCATCCCACCTGGTTCATGGCTCCTGAGGAACTCCGCCCTCTCATGGCCGATGAGGGAGAGCACGGCCGCGCAAAGGAAGTCCCCCTTGATGTCCCGCTGGACGAAGAGCTCGTCGTGGTGTAGGGGAATGAACTCCGTGTGGACGTCGCCCAGCTTGAAGCTGGGGTGGGAGGCCAGCCGCATGAGGAAGGAGATGTTGTTGGCCAGCCCCACCAAAGTGTAGTCCGAAAGCGACTGGTGAAGACGGCGCAAGGCCGAGGCCCGGTCGGGGCCCCACACCGCCAGCTTGGCGATCATCGGGTCATAGTGCACCGACACCTCGTCTCCTGCATCGAGGGAAGGTTCGGAGAGACGCCGTGACTACAGTAAAACCTCGTTATAACAAAGTTGAAGGAGCGGTCGTAATTATTTCGTTATAACCATTAGTTTGTTATAGCCAATGTCCATTTCTTCCCACTATTAGCAACCAAGGGGAATTATGATTGCTTTGCTATATCCATTAGTTTGTTATATCCCGTTTTGTTATAACGAGGTTTTACTGTAATTATGATAAATTACAGAATACATATACCGTATTTACTAGCCGCACAATTCATGAATAAGGCCCGTGCGTCTACTTTCCCACAGAGCACATATACAGCCAATCATCGCGCTGCGCATAAATAACATAGCGAATATCTAGATAGAGAACACAGTTCTCCATACAAATGCAATCTTCACAAATGGTATCTTCGCACGAAGATGTTTTCTCTGTCCTGTAAACAGCTGGAATCATGCTGTCGATCGCGGTGATTGGCAATCTGCGTGCTCCGCTGAAAAGCGAAACCTCAGGTTTTCTTTATAAACAGCACGGCTATTTCTCAAGTAAATTTGGTAAAAAATCTGCACGTTTTCACCACAGTGTGCAAGGAAGTGACAGTTGTTGCTGTGCAGAGTAACACACATTATTATGCATATTCACTCTTTATTTACTCAAATCACGCACAACACAGCTTCCTGGTTACTAAATTATGTAGGAAAGAAAACGCGCAGCGCACCTGAGTCGACGTCCCCACCTAAAACTTAATCAAAACGGGTATTGTTAAGGAGGGCGGGGCGCTTTACGTCTGACAGTGCACATAATTCGGGTTATAGTATAGGGGCGGAAGATGTAGCGGTGTCCCCCCGCCAACTGTAAAAGAAGTGGAACACACTACCACCTGGCAAGAGCCAAGTGCGCGCATTTTGCCTGGCATCGCGGGGCGCGGTGCATGCGCGAGCACCTGCGAAACAATCTTTCTGTCTGCACCACGCAACACCACAAATGCAGCTGGGAAGGCCCTATAACCGCTATCGCTTTAGAAGAAGAAAATGAATGCTGCAAATCTATTAGGTTCGCTCAACACATCTGCGTCCGAGTGCGACCAGAGCATGTTGTGCCCGCTCGTGTCGAGAGAATGCACAGGTATGCCGGCGCCACCTGTCAAGTAGTCCTGGAACTCTTTTGACTTGTGTATAAGTCAAACCCGTTTATAACGAACAGCAGTAAACGCTACGATCAGTTTGATATAGCAAGTAGTTCGATATAGCAAAAACCATTTACAACGAAATGCCACGATCCGTTCGTTGTAAAGCCGAGAGGTTCTCTTTCTCTCTCATCTCTTCACATCCACCTGGTTACAACGCGCTGTGAAGTTTTGTTTCTTTTTGCTTTTTTTTTTGCATGCATGCAGAGTTTGTTTGTTTAGCTTATCTTCCCTTCTGAATCACTTCTCTTCGTGGGCAAACGCTTTGGGATGAAAGGTTTTTTTTCTGTGCGTGCGTGCAGAGTGTATTTTTTAGCTTTCTCCCCTTCTGAATCGCTTCTTTTCGCCCAAATTTGTTCGCAACTTGAGCTTTTGGAATTTTCATTCTTTCCTACTTCTTTTTGGGGGGGAAGGGACAGACTAGAAGACAATTGTCTGAGCGTTTTTGGAAGCCTTCCGCGGGAGAAAAAGTTTGATAGTATAGCCAATATGTTGTTTGTTATCAAAAGTACTTTTTACATGCGTTTTTATTTAAATTTTTCGAGATCTCGATATTGACAATAAAGGCCCGTTCACACTCTTGCGACCGAGTACGACCGAGTACGACTGAGAGAGACGAGGATCTCTTAAAACTTCTTAAATGTTTTTAGAATGAGGGAACACACTGGTATTCTGGCGCCATCTATGCGGTGACCCTGGAACTGCATTTCTCAAGAGCGAAGGTTTTGTGGGATTTCCGAGGTCAAATGTGCGTAATAACCATAGAAAGGCTCGTTTATAACATTGACAAAAGTTTTTCGAGCCAAGAAAAAAAGGATAATGCGCGAGAAATAAAAAAAATATGCCGGACCGCCGAGTTTACACTGCTTCCCAATAGATGGCACCAGTGTGTTCTCTGGTTTAAGAAGTTTTAAGGAACCTAGGTTTAAGAGGTCGCAAGAGTGTGAACGGGCCTTAATTTGCTGTACGAGGGTTCGTCCTAAACGGGTTTCACTGTAACTTCACCTAAATTGTTACGCTAAATTATATGTGTTTATCCAAACAAGATAGACACATACAGGGTGCCTGGCTTCAATTCGAACAGATTTTTAAAAAAAATATAGGCAGTGAGAGTTAGACAAGATTCGTCTTCGCCTTGTGTATATCAGGCTCAACGGACATTAGCCGAGGGGATAATCGTAGTGGTAAGTTGACCAATTCACTAAAATCTTTCGATTAACTTTTGAACTATGAATTTGAGGGGCTAATGTTAGAATTGCAGTAGTGACAGCAATTACTATTAGAGACCAGACCAAATTAAAGAATTTGCAGAAGGTAGTGGTTTTTTGGGGTATCAGTCGATCAATTTTCGGATTTTCTCGGCCGATTTAAGAATTGCATTGACGAAGAGCGTCAAGAGCTCTGCCCACAATCGCGCTATCGTCGTTTGAAACGTGTCATCACTATCTTGGCAGCGTGTCGGCCCTATCTTGGTGGGTGTGCTAACAAAAAAAGTGGTGACGTGATGTAAACAACTATGTCGCTCTTCCAAGAGTCATTGTGGACAGGGCTTGACGCGCTCTTTTCGCGCACAATGTTTTAAATCGAGCGAAAGAGTGCAAAAGTTGATTGATTAACATCTCAAAAACCATTACGTTTTTGCAAGTCCTTTAAAGTCGTCTGGCCTCTAATACCAATTGCCGTCAATAGTGCAATTCCAACATGACCCCTAAAACCGACACTTAAAAAGTTAATTAAGAAATTTTAATTAAACGACTAACTTATCGTGACGATAATCCCCTCAACTAACGTCCGCCGAGCCCAAAAAATATGCGGTAAAGACAGAACTTGTCTAACTCACGCTCCTACTTTAAAAAAAAATCTGCTTAAATTCAAGTTAAGCATTCTGTATATATCTTTTGTCTCGTTATCACGAACGACCCGCATCATGCATGCAAGATTTTAGGGGCGAATGGAGGTGTCCATATTAATGAGACACAACTGCACTCAGGGGACGTCGAGCGAGCAGCACCCACCCTCTCGCACCCCGGTGTCTATGCGAATCTCGCTGGAAGGAAGGGGCGTGCGCAGGTAGTCGAGGGAGCCCGCGCCGGGCATGAAGTTGTTGTCCGGGTCCTCCGCGTAGATGCGGGCCTCGAAGGAGTGGCCCCGCACCCGGAGCTGGTCCTGGCTCAGGGGAAGCGGCTCCCCTTGGGCCACCTGCATGCGCCGAGCGCGTAGAAACGGGTCTTGCATCGTGCGACAGCTCTGCCTTACGCGACGACTATATACTAGCTTTGTTCAATTTACCTGCCCTTCCTGCAACGGTGCAAAAAAGTGTAGGGCAGTGTACTTCCAGACGTATCTCAATACCCACACCAGAAGTACACTGTGCGCTACAGTTCTCTGCACCGGTGCAGGAGGTACAGATAAATCAAATGAAGCTACTGTTATCACGCATTACTGCTTTCATACCTGTTTGAACTAATCTATCATATCTTTAGGCATATTTTTTTCTAAATTTCTGTCAGTGCATGTTGGACAACGGTGCGACTTATAACTCATATGCATTTCTTTTTTGAGCACAAACCTTCACTGAGCAAGATGCAGGCCACATCAACATTTACGACAGAGGAGGAATGGCAGAGCACCCGCTGGCTGCCTGCTCTTCGACATTTTTAATTTCGTAAGATGACACGCGAGCACGTAGCCTCTCTATAGCAATGTTTTGTCGTAGCAGGTCTAGATCCATCAGACGTTGCCTTCAGGTACCATGGACCAGCTTTGTTATCAGCTGAAGCAAGGCGTACTTAACGAAACTTTGATGCACTTATATGAGTCTAGCGATCCCACGCTCCTTCCTAGTGCTCATTGGAGTTCTAAGATTATGAGCTTTACTCTTCTTCTTAGCAGTACCAAAAGGGGAGATGGGTTTCTAGCTGTCTTTTGAAGGTTGCTAGACCTTCCCCAAGACTAAAATGTTTCAGAACACCAGGGTTAAATTCATTGTATAGCAACTAATAAATTTTCGTATAGTAGGTGTTAAATTTTCAATTAAACAGACAATATAGAAAATTAACTGCAATGCACTGCACAAAAAGAATGTCAGTTAATGATGCATTATGTATGAGTAACTGCCAAAAGTAATGCATTTCTCTCTAAGGCCACTCATAATTAAGGTTTTGTGCTTTCGGGGTTTATTTCTTCCAACCAATTGAATGTTTTCTATGTTAGACAAAAAAAATCGGCATTTATTGAGACTTTTGTCAAAGAAAACAGGACATGGGAACGGGATTCCAAAAGAACAAAGATAAATTCCTCTTTTAAAGAGCAGCACTATATACACCTCGGTCGAACTTGTGACAGAGCCGGAACGTTCAACTGGACGAGGAGAATGGAAAACGGTGGAGAGACCTTGATCTGCCATTCGACCAGGTCCGTGCCAGTGATCATCTCGGTGATGGGGTGCTCCACCTGCAGCCTCGTGTTCATCTCCATGAAGTAGAACTTCTGGTCCACATCCATGATAAACTCCACCGTGCCGGCACCCACGTAGTTCACCGCCCGCGCCGCCTTCACCGCAGCCTCCCCCAGCAGACGACGCGTCTCCTCCGTCACCCCCGGCTGCACATTGCAGACGCAGGGTCACGGCAAACTCCTACAGAAGTACTATCAAGATTCACATTGCCTGTCACCCGGCCTTTCTCAGTGTCTGCAATCTCCACAAGCTCTATTACCTCTCGATTCGTCAGAGTCTGAAGTATGAAACACCAACTTCACATTCTGTTCCTAGTTAGGGTCCCGACTCTCTCGAAAACTGGCAAGTACGCCAATGAAGCACGAAGGACTGCTTCAGCTCACATTGGATGCGATGGTACACCGACGCTCACCAGCCCTGGTGAAAACCGATAAAACTTAACCTTTCTCTACTTGTAGGCGCGTTGTCTCGTTCTTACTCTCGTCCTCGTCTTGAAGCGCTGTCATGTTCTCAAACTTTTTATACACGCCTGCAAGTACGGCCTCTGGGCACTTCCATTTGCAGCTGGTGTGTGTGGATCTTCTGATGCTCGAGTCTTGCTAAGGTATATGCCTAGAGTTGCCAGACAGGTACCCCAACAAAGCATTTTCCACCCCAGGTGGCCCGACTAGATTTTTAAAGCGTGGCTGCTTGCAAATATGAATAGGGATATACACATTTTTCTGCAGCTTCTCTGCTGTCCTTACTTATGTACCTAGGGTAGGTCAATTATTTTTTTTTCGAATTTGTGCTTGTGTTTTTGTAGAGCATACAGAGAGTAGCCTTAACATCTGGTAACAGATATCAAAGGCTGATGCTCGCTTTGTGAATACTGCTTTTGCTCACTTCCTTTTCAAATTCTCTGCTCCTTCACTGCTTCTCTCGGGAATGTTCTGATCCCCTCTCCTCTCGGCGAGCGCGCATAGCCATTTCCCCTCGATGCTGAGAATTATCTATTTCACTGAAAATCAAGATTGCACATAACTGTTTGCCCCATTCTTTTACTATAGGGAAGTTCCACAAAACAGCTTGTTTCTTTTTTGGTAACCTGCATTTCACCAAATTGATGGTTGGCGTCCGCCACTTTCACCATTTGTTTCACGCAGACGCTTAGTCATTGGCGTCGTTTTCAGAGTTGGTGATACGCCGATACGTTGTAAGTGGCCCCGTCGACGACACAACTCAGTAAGTATAAACAGCTTAGTGTTCTAATTTGTTTTCTTTTAAATTCGCCTCGGTGGTACATACTGGAACCATCTTGGCCGCCAACGGGTTGACTTCTCTATTGCCTGTTCATTTCAAGTTCGATTAAAGACCGATAGGTATAAAAATCGAGTACCAGATGATGCTATTTTGTGTCGCAGACTGCTCTGGCAGACGCAGTCGATCATGATGCAAAAAAAGATTAATCAAACTAAGAAACACTGCCTCCGCATATAGGAAGACACACGGCAGAAGTTCATCGACATGGCGTCCGGCAAGGTTTCAAGCTGAGAGTATGTCAAGAAAAGTCTGTCACGGAAAACTGCCCAATATTCCCACACCATCTCTGCATGCACATTCGAAAGGGGAGTCGAGTATGTGTTCTAAAAAAAAATTAAAGACATTTACAATTTTCTGTAACACCGAATTAGAATGCAGCTCTTGAGAAGGAGGAGGGGAGGGTACGGAGGAGAGGGTATGCCCCTGTTCCTTCCCTGCTAAATTTAGCCGAGAAAATTTACCACTAAATAAAGCGGGGAAATTTTATCCTCGTGACGTCACGAGGATAAAATGTAGCGGAGATTGCCAATATCCCCGCTAAATTTAGCGGGAATATTGGCAATATTAGATATGTGTGACATCACACGTGACGTCACGTGTGACAGAACCCTCGTGAGGGTAAACCTCGTAACCCTCACGAGGATAACCCTCGTGACGTCATTATAGGAAACGTCCCATAATACAACGCGCAATTATGCCGACGGCAACGGCGACGGCATCGCCGCTCATGCCGGAAACGGGCGCTTAAGAGCTGCGCTCTAAAAGACAAATGAAGCATGAGACCTAGAGACGGCTTACGGCAGGGGCTTCTTCGATGACCTTCTGATGCCTCCGCTGCACACTGCAGTCCCTCTCGAAAAGGTACACATAGTTGCCGTGGTGGTCTCCAAACACCTGCACCTCCACGTGCCTGCACATGGCAAGACAGCACAGAAGTAAACACATAAAATTATGTTCACAGCGAAAATGCTGCTATTGAAGGTAGTTTCTGTTCAGTAGAAACAATTTGTTTTCTTAGAATTAGTGTCGTGTCTTAAATACTTGCTTTTGAGTAGTATTTGCAAAGTCAGTGTGTGAACGTCATGTGCACCCTTTGCACATCACGAGCGTGCTTTAGCCGTTGTTGCGCATTCCAAGACTGTGCCTCTATCATGTCCTTTTCTGCAAATTTAACTTTTATATTTCATGCCCTTGCTTTGCTTTCTCCAGGTAGGCTTTCATGCTACATATCAGTCTTATTCTACACATTATCAGAGTTATGCACTCATCTCAATTCAGCTGTAGTATGCTCCTTAGAGTGCCCTTTGGGTGAATAAAGTTGAAATAATTTACTTCAATTCCATTTTCTTTTTTTTTCAATGTATGCCTAGCATTGAATTACATCAGCTATGCAATACCATTCTCTTCTATGTAACAGATAAATAATGTCTGTCCTAATATATCACTGATCCATTAGGATGCATCAAATGGTCCGTGACAGTATTCAGGATTCCAACCGAGACCTTAATCACCAACATACTCCATTCCTAGTTAACAGTGCTGGAAAGTTGTTTAAGCACATTGTACTTAAAGTACTACTTCAAATATGTTTAGAAAACTTGTACTTTACTTGAAGTAAATTCTCTTGAGTATATACTTGAATATTACACAAAGTATTTTTTTCTGGTACTTTCCAAGTAAAGTGGAACTCCCGGCTTCAAATTACATTTCTCAAATTTGGTCTTATTAAATTTGTATCGCAAAATGATGCTTTGTCAACTCTGAAAAAACATCAGGAGGGATATTCTACTCTCACCAGAAACGCGAGCGGACGACGCATGACTCCGTTTGTATTGGGGGCGGCTTTCCCAAAGCATTTAAAAATCTCGCTATTTCTCGCTCGGCCAGCGCAAACGAGGAAGTTAAAAAAGGACATTTCTCCGCAAGGGCTGCTTGCAGAAGCCACGGGGCTGACGTCATGCTCTCTCCTAGTACGTTTACTAACCCCCTTGGGTATGAGCTAGTGCAAGAGGCACTAAATTCAAAAGTCGGAAGAACTTTTGAATGATGTGCCATTTCCGAAAATAACTACTTTGTGGCCACCTGACGTTATCCAATAATCGCCACCATTTGTGAAAATAACTGATGCACTCCCGAATACCACTGGAGCAATGCATACAAGTTTTAAAAAAAACACAGTGTGGGGGAATTGAGGGGCATCACGAAAGATTGTGTTAAAAAGAACTTGTATACTTTACTTGGAACGTACATTGTATGTACAGTACTTCACTTTAATTTCATTGCACCCAATGTACTTACTGCTTTACTTGAAGTACGTAACCTCTCATTTAGTACTTTGTGCTTTACATCCAGTACTTTTTAGGTGTACTTTACCCAATACAGCTAGGTAATCATGCACTGACTTGGTTAATATAAAGAATTGATGGCAACAGCAATGAATTGAAGATCTCATTCATTGGAATCAGAAAGGTGGAAGAAGGGGAATGTGAAAAAGTGGCAAAGCTGCACACATTAAATCTATCTCAACATCTCAGCGAAAGCCTATTCAAGTAACTCAAATATTACCAACCCTGGGAACAAAACAAATAACACATTTTACTTGAACAACCAAAAATGAGACATTATAAATAGAAAGACATTTTTGGAATTGAGATGATACAGTAGAAGCAAAAAAACGAGATTCTAAAAGCTTGCTTTACAAATACCCCTAATAAGAGCTCTCTACCATAATGGAGAAAAAATAAACCTTTGTTTTCAAAACAACAGGCAATGACAGAGAAAAGTGGTTCATTCCCCCTAGGCTCATCGTCCTTTAAGAAAAAAAAAAGGAACATAAAGGGAACTTTAATTGGTTCCACGAAATAATGCCCACTCACTCATTTACAACAATCAGTCCCTAGATCTGCACATTTCATAACCACGGCTCCACGAGGTTTCGAAAGATGTCCGGAGCATGAGTTGTTCAGTTTGAAGGAAAAAGAGGCAAGCAATGGTAAAACTAAGGGTGTCGGCATACTTGAAACCCGGCGCTCACGGAAAACTTGCCTGGGATTGGCGACAAACTTCTCGATCAGCATGTTGTCATCTCCAAACGACTTCATGGCCTCCCGCTTGGCTGACTCCAGTTGAGCGTCAAATTCTCCTTCATTCATCACAATCCTCATTCCCTAGAAAAAATTAAAGGAGAGAAAGAGATGCTCGATGTTTCATTATTGACTTCTCACCATACTTTTACTAGATTCCTGGACACGAAACAGAACATACACACCAGCAACATAGTTGCAATACATTAAGGTCAACACCGTAACGTTACATGTCGGTGTCTGTGCACTCTATGCATGAGAGAGGAGAGGCCGCCGCCCCGCCAAAGTTGAGGTCCATACTCTGGCAGTAGGTGTCACATTATGTGCAGACATTTAGGCCAGTGTTACAAAGACAGACCTTCTCCAAGTCCACATCGGTGAAATTAGAATGAATTGAAAATGTGGAACAAGGCAGCTTTGCTTACCAATTTTGTTGGGGCTTAGATGCTACATTTAAACAACACTCCAAAAGCAAGAAGGTGGACAAACTAAATGTTACATCTCGCGCTTTGGATTTCAGCAACAAAGAGTGGAAACACGAGAAAACACGGGCAAAGTCTTCTAAAGTCCTCAAATATAAAAAGCATAAATGACTAGCTGCACACACACCTTTTTGCATTTTTGTCGTTTACCAAAATGCCGAGCTTAATCGTGTCCCTATTTTTTTTTTTATTAAGTTTGTCATTTATCATTTTTAAAAATGCCTATCCAATACAAGCGGGAGAGGGAGATAATGAACTATATTGCTGGCATTAGAACCTATAAAAAATAATAGGTCACTTCCAAAATACCCAAAATAATATGCACATTTTCAAAACCAGTTAGGTACACTGAAACAAATAAACTCTTCAAAAGAACACCAAGATAAAAAAAGATAAACTTATGCCCACATAGCAGCCAGAGAGCAAATGAAAGGCGGCTACACAGAGTTCCGGAGAGACGCACCTTTCCTCCTCCTCCTCGGACGGCTTTGGCCATGACAGGAAAGCCAATGCGGCGAGCTTCTTCCTTGAGTTTCTCCTCGGACTGTTCCTCGCCGTGATAACCCACGATGACGGGCACACCGGCCGCTGACATGATAGCCTTGGATGTGCTGCATCAACCAGGTTCACCGACACACTTGGGAACACACACAAATGCCAAAAGAACCAAACCCCAGAGCCACCATTAGTCTGCATCTGGAACCACCACTCCCTAGATAACAAAGCCATAGCGCCGAATTTTCAGCACCACCTAAAAGAGGCCAACCAGGGTCGCGTATTGAACACGAGCGCCGTGTCGGCGTTTGGCCCATACTGGCGTTTGACCGTCTGTGTCTCGGCTCGTGTTCACGAGTCTCGGGTTCTTTCGCGCCCTTTTTTTCCCCTCAAAATTCGGGCTTTACGTAGAACATTCTAAAAAAAGATTACGATTATCAGGCAACCCAACTGAAGGTTGCTTCATTCCGTTCGACCTTCCTGCCTAACCTCTCTACCTCTCCCCTCTCCTTCAAATCTTCGTCGACAACTATATGCCAAAGTTGAAAAATAAATGCCCCCCCCCCCCGAAATCACAACCGCGGTTGAAAATACTCGCGGTGCAGTGCCCTTCGGGACCACTTTCGATGCGTGGGCGGAATAGGATGCTAAACACGTCGGTTTGAAACGCATTCCGGGCAATGTAGGTTCGGTACGGTCGGTTGAAGTTTGTGAATGAGGGGAGTATGGCGCACCTCTTGATGCCCATGTCCCGGATGGCCGACGCAGGGGGTCCCACGAAGATGATGCCTTCCTGGGCGCACATCTCGGCAAACTCTGTGTTCTCCGAGAGGAAGCCGTAGCCCGGGTGGATGGCCTGGGCCCCGCACCTCTTGGCGGTCGCCAGGATCCGGTCGTAGCGCAGGTAGCTCTCCTGCGACGCCGCCGGCCCAATGTGGTACGCCTCGTCCGCCTGCAAGCGTCGTTGTCGAACGTCACATACAGCGTGCCCCCGAAAACGATTGACACTGTTTTTGTTTTTTTCGCAGCAAAAAAGAAACTATGCATTGTCAAACGCTCGGTCTCTGCGAAAAACGTGGCGCTAGCGGTTCGGACCGGATGCCAGAGATTTAGAGCTTGAAAGTGCAGTCATGAATTGTTAATATGGAGACGTCTGTTCCCCCCAAAAATTGTCCATAATGTGTAGTAATTAGACGAAAACGCGCGTATTTACCCAGTTTGTGCCCAAGTATTTTGTCCCCACAACGAGGTATCCATATTAATGGGGTTTGTATAAGGAGACATTATTCGAAAGTTACGAGCGATTTTCTGAAACTTCATGTGGGAAAAAGGGCCCATTCCCAGTACCATACACCATTCTTCTCGGTGTATTTGTAGGCTACATAGGCCACCGTTTTCCCATTGAAAATTTCCAAAAATAACTTGCAGTAATATCCTGAGATAGCCCACCTAAAAGCCAAGTAAATCGGGTGAAAATATGGAGCAAGCTAACTTTCGGTGTGCGATCAAAAAAAGCTGAAAAATATACTAATTTTAGATTCTGGGACCTGCGAAATTGGTGATTGCAGGGAGGTACGATGAACCAAAGATGACTGTTCTCCCTAGTCAGCAATGTTTGCTTATCTCCTGTCTTGGCTAAGTAACACCATTTCTGCCGAGGTCACCATTGGCCACGGTTCCACAATTACTAGAAGTGAGCTATCTTTCGGTGTTTTTGAAAAATAGCAAATCTTCCGAAAATAGGGGTGGGTTATCTTTCGGGGGTGGGGCATCTCTTGGGATATCACAATATAACTTTTGAATAAGATCACGGTTCATTCTGAAACTTTGGCATCTCCTTTGGACCGCTAGCACTATGTTTCGGCAGAGACTGAGAGTATGGCGACGCAAAGTTCAGTTTTGCAGTGAAATAAAAAACCGATAATTATTTTTGTTTTATAACAACCTTATAAATATTTTGGTTTCATTTGGTTGTCATGGCCATTAGGTGAGTATCTGCCACCAATAAACACCGATTCCAGCACAGGCATTAGGCACGCGATGCCAGTAAGGAACACAAGCGTTTCATTGGTGAAGACTGAAAAACATAACTAAGATTTGTACAATGAAATACAGAATGGGAGATCGGTTGACATTGAGTAAGAAATGCACCCAAATTTCTTACACAAAATTTTGGCTCATTCCAAGCGATTCTCAGAAAAAGAAACTAAAACACTGCTGAACTTGTGAAGCAATTCTTATAAAAATGGCAATGTGGCCAGTTCGGTTCACGACTGACAATAACCAAACAGCGTGCGAAATAACCCAAAAAAACCAAGAGAAGCGAAGGGAATACACAGGACAGCGCTCGTCCTGTGTAGTCCTTTCACTTGTCTTAGTTCTTCTTGTGCGCCGTTTAACAATCCTTAGGTCTGAGAGTATTTTTCCAAGACAGAAACGGTAGATCCTCATGCTTTACAGAAAACAGTATAATCCCAGCAATGGTAGGCACCAAAGCCAATTTCAAACAATGCCCGGAGTAGATAAAACGTGAGGTGTTTCTATGAAAGGAGGATAATATGTTGTGTCTGGATGCCCGTCTTATCAGTTCTTTGCCAAGGTGGCCTCACTCAAGATAGAAGCCAGCCTATCATCCCCCTTTCCACATATTGCACAATCGTTTTCGTACAATGCGTCAAGTTTGTTCACCTGAGAGCTGCAAGGAATGCATCGAGCATGTTGTAAAACATACTATATTAGATGCTGTCAGGTACAACAAACATTTACATCAATAAAAATTTTTAAAAAATAATGCACACACCAAAAACATCAATCAATGTAAACGATTGTTAACAGTTATTGAAACTAGACAGGGCTAACATATTCTCCTGCAAGGGATCTACACTGACATATTAGCTCCCCCTTACATCACATGCTACTGCAAGAAATATTTTGTCATTTGCCTTTAACACAAAAAAAAAATTACTGCCACGAAAATTTTATTCAGGGATTCCACACTAAGCTTTTTATCGTTGACTATAGCACTAACATCTTTGCGGCTATAAACACCAACCTTGTTCCTCAAAAATACTTATAAAAGTGAAGGCTAACAATTGACAAAAAATGTCAGCAAAAGCAATCAAACAATAACTGGGAGAATTTCGTTGCTAACCAACAAATTTAAGCAGAAAGTGCAGTAGTAGAAACATGAGAGGAACGATGAGAAGCTGAAACACATTCAGATCCTTCCGGTATGTTTTACGCCTCACCAAGATTGTGTCATTTAATCAGAATACTTAGTGCCCCAAATTTGAGGACTGTACAGGCATCACCATCGTAAACCTTGGTGTCTTATTTACGCCGATTTTGGCAACATCATTTAAGTGTAGTGACTAGAAAAGGTTTCAGTTAGTTCCTCCGAAGAAAAGAGCACTGGTAACGTGGTAACCTGATATTGCTATGTTCTAACCTCCCGTTAAGAACACCAACAAACTTACAGCTTCCTCTGTATGATTACTATGGAGTCGCATAGATCTGAAGAGCTGAATGACATACCATGGTGACGTGCATCGACTTTCGGTCGGCATCGCTGTAGACTGCCACCGAGCGGATGCCCAACTTCTTGGCAGAGCGTATGACCCGACAGGCAATCTCACCACGGTTGGCAATTAAGATTTTCTCGATGGAACCCCTGGGAATTTTGCTACCACTGTTTGTGCTCGCCGCTGCAGAGAAATGTTGGGGGGAAAAGAAGAGCGAGTTAGTTGTCTGCTCTCTGTTGCTGAATTATCTTGGCCACTCAAAAACACAGACATACCAAGAACAGGTCGTTGGACCAAGATCTCATGTCGGAGTTTATAGTGGATCAAAAGTATTTTCGTTTCTTGAATTGTTTGATTAATACCCTCCCATTTTCACATTCAAATGTAAACAAAAAAGAACAAAAAAAACTATGCCTTTTTAGATTAAAAAAGAAAACTTCAATTTAAAAAGCTTAACTCTCTCTCTTTCTCGTAATAAAAAAAAAAAACAATTACTTTTTTTTTTTTTTTTTTTAATAAGCACACATATTCGAAGTTACATGACTTGAAATTTCTGAAAACATTAGAAGCTGGCATCTGATACACACTCTCAAATACTACAGTTCCCCGATCAAATTCTTGCCGTCGTTTTCAGCATTATAATGCCAGTATCATTAGGATGCCTCTAGTAATAAAACATTTTACGCACATTATGAAAGGTGTCCAACATGACCATTCATATGACATTGAATATAAGCAATGGGGGGAGAAAAATTAAAGTCTCCTATGCGCCAAGTTGGGACTCCAGTAACTCACCTAATAACTGTTTGTAAAAGACGTTCCAACGTACTGCAGACCGCCTGTAAGTTGGAAGAAACGATATTACAGGGAAAGTCGATGACCTGATTTTTTTTTTCTTTTTTTTTTTTTTTTTTTACAACCTTTGGTTGGATTGGGGAGAAGTACGAAGATATGATGTAACTAGAGTTCTTTTTTGTGCGAGGTAAATTAAATCGCTATAAAAAGCGCACTTCCGAATTCATTTTTTTTTTTTTTTTTAATTAAAACATCAGAATAATTTGTTCCAGAAAGAAAAATCACCCGACGTGCCAAGTCAACCATCGAAGTCAACCATCGGGTGATCCAGCCAGCCCGAAAAATAGACGATCAAAGAGTGTAACTTATAACAGGTGATATTTATGTTACAATAAGCTTGTAAAGTGAAACACAGCACGCCAATGAAAGCCAAAATTTAGTTTCTCGCTTATTAAAACTTACTTGAAGCATTGCAGACGAGCACAGCGCAAGTGCGCGGCCATGTTGTACAGTGCTGCCAGACGGTGGAGAACACTCAGTCTGAAACTAACCGAGCTACCGAACGCATACCTGAATTTACATCAGAGCAATCGAATGTTAGGTAATCAACTAGACTTATTTTACAGCAAGATTAATTCGAAACAAAATTTAGTTATCAATGTTTTCGATTTATTTTAATAAAAGACAACTTGTAAAGTTTCTTTATTATAAGATAAATTATGTGTCAAAATGCTTTTATGGAGTTCAAAAGATCTCATAGGTCAATATTTACACATAACTCTATGATTTCTTAACATAGAACATTAAAAACGAGTTGAAAAGACATCATATGAGTGCTCAAAAGGGTAACCAGAGTTTTAGTTTCGTTTTCGATGAACCAAACCACTGGGTGATTCAAGCAGCGGCCAGGCTCTTTAAACTCCGCAACTCCACGCGTGCCCACTCGCAGCGTGGAGCGGGTTCGTTTCATAGAGTTATTATAATGTACGCTAGAGTATGGTGGCTGGAAGGGGGAAGTGTGGCGGCCGGGAGCGGAGGGCTGCACAGAGTTGCGATGAAAATAATAGAGGGCGCTGCGCGCAGCAAGCGAGTTAGCGCTGGCGTGCGGAGCATAGGAACAAAGAGCGCTGCGCGATATTTTCCCCTTGCTGCGAATACTGTAAAATAGTGGATACGCAAATAAAAGACAACTAGACGTTTTCTTCGAGAGCTGAATCTACTGACGCCTTGTTACGCAATAGAAAGGAAAGAAAAACAAAACTATTTTTGATTTACATTTAGAACAAATGCGCTGGTGCAGGTGAACGTCCACTGGGGAAATTGGACTTTTTTTTACTTGATAACTTTATTAATCGTGAACACTTCATATGCTTCAAAGTGCAACCGAAGAAAAATTTGACGAACAAGGCATAGAATGTAGAACTCACTTTTATTTACTGTTTCAGATATTGCGTCAAGAATACAAGCCAAAGGAAGAAACTACTTGTTTCTGAAGCAGCCTTTGTTTTGACCTTTTTCTTTCTCTGAAGAGTGCATGGACAGGCGTTAGTAAGCGCGCCGAGTATTTTATTTCAATAAGTTAGCAAAAAATGTCCAGGAAAGGTGCGCATGCAGAAAAATGTTTGATTGCCGCTTGATCTGGAGATGCCGCCACACCGAACTACAGGTTTTCCCGCTCATCCCAATCCAAACGACGTCCAATTTAATCCCAGTACCACCCAATTTAACCCAAGCGCCACACAATTTAATCCTTGCGCTACCAACTTTAATCCCGGGGTCAGTCATTTTAATCGTATATGCACTAAGCGCATTCAGTGGTCGTGTTTTGCTTACACATTTGGTAACTTATAATAATTGTTTATACACTTAGATTTTGTGGGGAACAACTGATCATTTGATCACTATTGTGACTAGTGATGGGGCGAATCTTTATCCGAATCGAGATTCGGAGCCGAATCTGCAGATTCGGAAAGATTCGGAAGAGTGGCCGAATCTCAAGCGATTCGGAAAAGTTCGGAAAGATTCGGAGCGTTGCCATGGTTGCTAAATCACGTTGATGTGTGTTTCAACTTTTTTGTGACATTAAATTCACTAAATTCTACAAAGTACACGAAAGATTATTGTAATATAATATCACAGTAATAAATAAAATGTTCCACTTTGTTTATATCATTTTGGATGTTTATCGAGAACGGTAGCCAGACATCGCGGGAAAGTTGGTTTCGGTTCTGGATTACGACCCAAATAGGCATGCTTGATGCATGCACGTGGAAATACAAGCGCATGTTTTCATCGCCGCAAGAGATCGATGCCGTAAGTGCTGTTCGGTACAGACACATTTCGTGCCGATAATTACTGTCAGTGTGGCACACACCACACAAGTGAGTATGTTCGATTCGATTATCTCCAACGATCGAGTGTCCACTGAGGTATTGCTATCGGAACACGGGAAACAATCTGAAACTTCGTTAATGCATGCTATCTGGTTTAGTTAGTGTCTGTTTACGAACAGTGAAGTTGCGTTAAACACCCCTGTATTGTGTTTTTTTTTTTTTTTTCATCAAATAAAGTTTACGTATACAAAACTTACGGAGAAACGACAGTGCGACGTTTTTCTTTGCCACCGGTATCTCGCTCTCGCGCCTTACAGGTACAGACATACGCAGCTCTAGAGAAGGAGACGAATCATTTCCTTGGCTGAATATATATTTATTCATTTTTCGTTGCGCCACATTACGTATAATACACAACGTTTCGCTACATTTTACCGATCACCGCGAAATTGCACAGAAAGCGAGACCGTGCATGGTTAGGCCTACGTCAACCACACCGATCAGCTCAGCTGGACCTGGGCGCGTGCCAGAGTCTAGAATGACAGTACAGTACATACCATACGTTGAAATAAACAAGACGAAATCTGGTTATATGCAGTAACAGTAGCTAGAAAAGCACAACTGACCGCATTCGCGAGGTTTACGACAAGGTTCATGCTGCCGCCTGCACAGCGACGATTCAGACGAATCTCCGAATCTGCCGAATATTCGTCACGGGAAGTTCGGAAATTTCCGAATCTGTCCGAATCCGAATCTCGGGTGATTCGTCCCATCACTAATTTGTGACTACTAGGAGCTACTGTCCCACTTTTGACAAGGCAAAATTAATATGTTTATTGCTCTTTTTGTAACCTGGAGTTATTATGGCGCACTCGAATTTATTTTAGCTTGCAATTTATGATTACTCTTTTGATTACTTCGTGCTATTATTGCTCCAATTGATCTATAATAAGCTCAGTTGACATTGTTATTCCTCTTTTGATTACTTCGAGTTACTTTTGACCCATTGGCCATAAGTTCAAATTAAACTCCATTGTAATGACTTCATTACTTTCAGCTAATATTCAGCAAATTGAATTTTTATGTGATGATTATTGACATTATTATTACTCTTGATTACTTTGAGTTACTCCAAATTCAATTGACAATTTAATTCGGCCTAAATGACATTTGGTGACTCTTGTTTACTTTGTATAATTATAGCGCCAATTTATCGGTTGTAGCTCAGTCAGTTTATTATTAGTCTTTTGATTACTTCGAGTTACTTTTATAATTTTGGGGGCTAAGATTTAATAAAATTATTTATTATTTGCTCAACTAACATTGCAATTATTTGTTTTATTACTTTGAGTTACTATTGACCAAATGGACTTTAATGCCGCCTAATTGACGTTTTGGCTACTCGTTTGATTACTTCCTGTTATTATACCTCCAAATGATCTATAATGAACTCAGTGGACATTATTATTACTCTTTTTATTCCTTTGAGTCACTTTTAAACCAGTGGACTTGAATTAGACCTAACTGACATTAGGACGACTCTTGATTACTTTGAGCTTATCTTAATACACTTATTTATTATTAGCATAATGTATATTATGATTACTCACAGCCAAAACAGCAGAACAACCAAAACAGCAGAACTTGTAGCAGCCTCAGAAGAGCGCCGGCGCCCGCGAACCAACAGATCACCCGAGACCGCTGACTCGCCTGCAGACTGCAGCGCCCCTCGCGGTGGCGAAGATTTTCATCGCAACTCGCGCCCCTCTCTGACACGGCGCGCATACGGCGCCCGTCACACTTCCCCTTCCAGAGGTTCAACTGACTTCCGTGACGCAAATTGAAGCAGACAGCAACCAGTCTACTTTTGCGGTGCTCCTGTGCATTCCTATGGGAAAACGCGCGTGCATTTCGTCTCTTCGCAGGAAAATAACATGGAACACTTTGGTTATTTCGGTCGTACCGAATAGTATGTGTCTTAATTAACATTGTAAAAGTGTAATTGCTTTAGTTAGCGCATTTTTCTTCTTCGGTGAGCGATGTTTAACTTCGCTGCATTTCAGTCCCAAACGTGTGTTCCGCAGCAGGTGTGTAAAAACAAGCGACGATTCAAAGCAAAATTACGATCGAAACGAATATAGAGTGTGTTCAAGGCTCGCCAGCATTCCGGTGACGCTTGTATATTGATAATATATATATGCCAGTCCTGTCACCATACGAAAATTATCCCGTCGTGCATGGGCGGATAAAAACCTTCAACGTAGAGAATAAAGTCCTTGGGATATGAAAGGTGTCTCTTCGTATTGTTTTCTCTGCCGGGCAGCTTTTATCGCGCACTTGTTCTCAAAGATGTCTAGCGCGCGGGTGATATTTTGAACGTATACACGCAGCTTCGCTCAGGACAGAAAGAATAAAGCGGTACTCACTTATTTAAAATAGGACTAGATTACGTGGCCTTCAATTTATTTTGGTCGTACATGCACTGCGAGTTACTGATCCGGTGTTGCTGCGTAGTTCTTGCCGTCGCTCTTGATTTTCCAGATGTCCTTAGTTCGTTTGACATGTATATCCCCCATGCTGAAAATCGCCGACGCCGCGTTCGCGCTAACAGTGTCCGACAGTGCACATAAATACACGTACGAAGCCGTTTTAGCACCGTTTTTAATGCGAAGAATTTGAAAGAAAAACGCTGTAACTGACCAATTATTTCGTCGGCCTGACCGAGAACTGTTCCAAGCTACTTAGTACGTACGAATTATTTGGGATATTTGCTCTTATGATCGAGCGCGGGGAGAAAATGCACTCACTTTTTCCCATAGAAAAGCATTACCGGAAGTCAATTTTCGACTGGTTGCTGTCTGCTTCAATTTGCGTCAGCACACTAGCGCCACTTGAACCTCTAGCGTACATTATAATAACTCTATGGTTCGTTTCGGCCGGCACTACACGAGTGGTTGCACTCTCCAAGTTCGTTTCAGCGCTGACACAGACACCCCACGCGTGCATGCACTCGCTGCACCGAGAAAATCGAGAGTGCGCCAAAATGCAATCCCGTCATGCCTCACTCCGGCGAGGAGCGGGAGCAGACGACGAGGGTTTGTCTGCTACGATGTGTCGCGGAAAGACAAATAAGATTTTCTGATAGAAATCGCGTCTCGCGGGCAACAGAATCAAACGCGAGCTTAAATTGT